CTCATCTCTCAACCTCCCTACTCCATCCTCACCCCTACTCCCTCCTCATCTCTCAACCTCACAACTCCCTCCTCATCCCTACTCCCTCCTCATCCCTACTCCCTCCTCATCCCTACCTACATAACTGCTGACAAAACGATGTGTCTAATTCTGTTTGTTCTGTGTTAACAACATCTGAGTGGACATGTTGGACAATAAACTGGAAGAATACAAATCTACAGCAGAATCTACAAGAAGACGAAGAAAGTTGTGAAACACAAACTCAAGTTCAAATCTGAAAATGACTTTCAGCGTCTTCTCTCCCTTCTGATGCAGTCACAGCTCGTCCTCCACTGGACTGTAGGTGTTTCTGTGACATCTGGACGTCTCAGTCTGTGGGAGGACGAGCTCCGACCTCTGACCCTCGATCAGCTGGACCTGGAGAAGGTGCAGCCGCTGACACAGCAGGACGGAGCCGCTCGCTGCAGCTCGAGCTGGCACTCAGAAATACCCCCACCCACAGCACGGATACAGAAATATGAAGCTCTGAAAGGAAAGAGATCCATCTGTGTTGCAGGGGAAGTAGAGTCTCACAGGTAGAGGCCCCGACTCTCTTTTGTGAGGACTATTTGTGGATTTAGTTTCCCTCCTACCCTCCCTCCCTAACTGCCTCCTCTGCCTCTCTCCCCGGCTGGGGTGAGTAATCACACCTTCACATCCTGCAGGGACCAGCACACAAACACAAGCATTAACACAGTTTAACACAACTGCGCCGCCTCAGCACCACAAACACCGGTCGAGCCGATCTCAGATAATGTTGCTATTTGAAGGAGCTGTGCGGTTTCTCGATATCAGCAGCAGAAACCAAACACAACGATGCAACGTCGGAGCAAAGCTGCTTCTGTGCAGTGATGCAGAGGAAGAAAAGCTCAGACGAGGCTGCGGCGACTAAATCACATATTTACTCTCCTCTTTATTGCTGCATTGGCCTTTTGTTTTTCAAGAGTTAGAAGGTAGAAGATCTTAATCACTCTGACAGCCCACAAACTAGAAAGGTCCGCCGCAGCGTCTCCCCTCCGCTAACAAACACCCACACGGTTTCCAGCGGAGCAGGAAACTACATGAGCGGTTATTCAAGCGGCGGGTCGGGGACCGGAGATGGATCTCCAGAGGGTGAGAGACTGTCACAGCTCGGCATTAATATGTAAGATGATGTGATTCGGCCTGACAGCTCGGATATGGAATGGGACGTTGGCAACACCTCTGTTCCATTAGCGACATCCTGCTCCGTTTTCACACCTGACAAATGAGGAGTTAAAAGGCCTCCTGTTGAGAAGTTACACGGTTTCTCTCGGGGGTTTGGTGGCGATGTTTTAATTTTGGATTAGACTATTAAAGTAGAAGCAGAAAAATACATCAATTCTAATAATAATATAATAAAATAATAGATAATAAATTATATTTTGCATCTCCTCAGGTTCAGGGTGCACGATTTAAACTGTGCCTCATTTCACGTCGAACGTAAAGGATGAACCAAAACAAGACGTATTGTTCGACGGAGTATTTATTAAGCACCCGGACAGAGAGCTCGTTAGCCTTGTCACCAGCCCACAATGAATCCTGGGACAGGATGGCACAACGTGACTGGAAGACGCATTCGTTCATCATATTTCACGGAACGTTAGAAAAGGGACAACCCGGTTGCACCGATGTGATGTAACGAGTCTTCAAGTTTGTTTGTTTGGATTATGTAAAACAATTCTGATGCATTTCCATGAAACTTGAAGTAAGAATTGGACAAAGGTAAAAAAAA